AGAGAAATTCTGAGGGGACCTGCGCTAGATCGGATTCTGCCTAAGGGATTGCAAGTGCAAGTGCTGGTTCATAGAATCTATATGAATGTTTTTAGCGCTAAGCTGTCAAATTTGCCGCCTGAAAGATCGCGAAGCAAGGGCGACCTCTTGGTTCAAGATAAATTCATCACAACATGATCGTCTGCTGGAACCGGAGTCGTGCCCAGCCTGAGGGCTCATTCACCGAGGATTTGACACACCCAATGTTCTCATAGGGCGACAATGTTATCTTGGAAGGGCTCACTAATTTGAAGATTATGAGCGAGCTACTGGGTACGCAACGGGAATGAGGAATTCAAGCCTTTCCGTAATTCTTGTTTCTTACATCTCGCTCGAATATTGTTCCATTTTATCAAGCTATGATCACAAGTAACATGGTCAACTAAATGTGGTCCCATGCGCACAAGGTGAGGGAAACCTCAAACGGTTTAGTTTACCCACCTTGACCTACCTTTAGCGCCGACAAGTTCCTCCTGATGTACGTGTTTTCAATGATCTGTTTTCTGAACAGAGTCCTTTTCCAGAACTGACAAATTGCAGGGTGAATCGTACCACTGGTCCGGATTTGATCGTTGACTCTTTGCATAGCTTGCGGTATAATACCGCGACACATGTTCTCGTCCTCATCCTCACAGACCACTGATTGAAATCACACCCTCTCTATTAGATCAGCCTCATATATATGTATACCAGGCTCACTTTCTCAATGGTAGCAGATTTCAGCACTGAACAATGACCACCATCTCGAACTCGCCTACTGGGTGGCAACCAGACCCTGACTTTCGTGGCACGTTCAACATTGTTTCTACTTGTCTGACAACCCTCTTGTTTTGTCTCTGGAGTGCTGTCCACGTCGAGATTCCAGCTCACTCAGGGATGTTACGTGGACTCTGGGTGAGGCTGGGCTGGATTTTCGTGGGATTGGTTACTCCGGAAACATTGCTCTTTATTGCTTATCGACAGTGGACCATTGCCAGGGCCCTTCTCAGCGATGCAAAGAAGTGTGAAGCGTTTCCCCTTCATGATGCACCCAAGCCTTGGTACTATTGGGCAACGGAAGCCATTGGAATACGACAGGAGTATGAGGAGGTATGTTTTTACGGCAGATGTGAAATATTATATTGATAACACGCAAAGGTTCAGGACTCGAGACCCAAGTGTACCAAAAAGTATTGCTGGACAATGATACACAGTTATTATGCTGCGATGGGTGGATTTGTGTTTGATACTACAGAGACGGACGAGGGTGATGCAGCCAAACCATTTCTTCCGGAGCTATACGGCGAGTCAGGTCGTGCAGTGATAACACCAGAGGGCATCCAATTTCTCCTGAAGCACAAGCCAGAGCTGCTTCCAGATCTGTCTATCGAAGAGATTTCGGATCGAAACAAACGAAACAGTCTTTCGAAAAGCGTTCTGGTCGTCCAAGTTTCCTTTTTTGTCATAGATTGTATAGCTCGTAAACTTCAGGGCTTACCCATCACCCTGCTGGAGGTTACAACCGTGGCACACGCGTTATGTTCCTTGCTGGCATACGTTTGCTGGTGGAGCAAGCCACTCAGCGTCAATCAGCCTGCATTCATCCGTGGAAAAGAGGCTCGGGAGACATGTGCTTTGATGTGCATGGCTAGTACTGGAAGGTACTACTTCCTAGCAGGATATCTCATGGTCTGGCGTCCTGCTGAACTTGACAGTATGTACTATCATGGTATCTCTCCCAACCTCGAAAAACAATCTCTTTCCCAAATTCCAAAGAACCCTACCATTGATTTTTCACCTTGTTCATCAAGTTATTCAAAAGATGGCATGTTGCCATGGCTAGACAGGACGGTCGGGAACTGGGCCCTAGGACGCCAGCCTTGGTATAGAAGAAAACAGCGAGTTTCTGGTGACGTTGAATACGCCCAAGATGGCGTTACAGATCCTCTAGATAAAGACAAAGAAAGATGGATCCTTGCTTCAGTCGCTGCGAAGAAACTGATGTGCGCAGTTCAGCGCCTTCGAAAGCCGCTTAATCCTCGCACAAAGGAACTGCGCTATACAGATGCCTTAGTGTCTCCCACGACCGGCTTATCCGCGTGCCTAAAGTATCGCGGTGGGAATCCACGCAAATTCACACTCAACGAGGAAGACCCAGGACCATTCGCTGCCACGGTTCTGGCAGTTTTATTTGGATTTCCTAGTATAATTGCTTGGAATTTTAATTTTCCTACACCCTTCGACCAGTTCCTTTGGCGAGGAGCGGCCATAGCGGCAGTGTTCAGAGGAACCATTTACTGGGCTGCCCGCAAAGTTGGGTTATGGGCCACTAAGCGTACCTCAAATCGATTTGTGAGAAAGGCCGCAGCGGTAATTCCAGTAACTTTGTTGATGGCTCTGCTTATTCCATCGAGTACCATATTGGTTTTCGAGAGCTTCAAGCAACTTCTCTATTTGCCTCCCGCTGCATATCAAGTTCCAAACTTGTCTAGATATTGGCCTCATTTCTAGTGGAAAGTAAGAAGATCTGGGATTTTTCTCCTTTCGACAATGTCTCGAATTTCACAGCTTGGACATTTCCTTACATACTGATGTTAATATACTCAAGTCCGCATTAATAAATGGATCAAGAACGTTCGCGGAATTTGTGAATCAGGAGACCTCTCAGAAACAATCGACTTGCAAGAGTACACGCGAAGCACACGAGTTTGCAGCAGAACTAAAGAACAAACCCGACAAACCTCCAGGTCTCAATTGCATCACCTTAACATATAATCCAGGCTCCTGAAATCTTCTGAGCCTCCCGGTAGCTGCACTTTCAACAAATGCACTCTCTCGATCAATCCTTCTGTCTTCCGTTTTCTACATCGAACCATCCTTTTTTCGAACAGGCACTTGAATCGTAATTCAACCTTCTCCACCGTCCCACGTTAGTTTCCGTTAACCTCCTTAATCTTCCGCCGACCACTTCACCAACCGTGATTATCTCTGGATCTTGCTATAGCCGCAGTATAATCCAAACATTCAGCCACTACGACTGTTCGATCTCAATCTTGACTTGTGGACCCCCATTACGTTCGATCACCGCCGTCTCTTCCTGCAACTTCTCATTCACTATAGTTCCTTGCTCCGCTGGTCCACTTCTGTCGGGATGCGCTTTTCCAGATTCCTTGCCCCGGTTCCCACTCTTATTTACATGCTCTTCGGACGTTCCAGCCACACCCTCCACCCAGTCAATTTTTGCCGCAGTCAAGGTAAGAGTAGAATTCGTGGTCGTAGCAGAATCAAGGTTCCCATTCTTGCTTTCCACGGCGACTGATCTCGATGTAGTTGCTTTTGACTTGGAGTTTGTGGTTTTCTTCATGGCTTTCACCGCAGCCTTGGTGGTTTGACTGGGTAGTTGCATGCTCGGACATAATCCTTCAATACTACTCAACGAGCATTCTGAACATTTGGGTTTGACAGGGCTGCAGATCGTCTAGTGGTTTGGAAATAGTAAGATCATGACATGAGCGAATGGTTAGAATGCGACAGTAACATACCTGCCCGAAGCCAACGAGAAGGTGGTTTATAGTCTGGTGAAGCTCACGAGGCAACCATGATTCCAAGTTGATTCTTTGATTGAATAATGTCAGATGAAAGTAAGATAACAGTGGGATAATGGGAAAACCCGAGGGATTGATTGATACGGGTGGACAAGGAATTGGTGGAAAGCTCGGACATGCGATCGTGATTTATAGAACTAGAAGAGTCAGAATTAAAATTCACCTCGTTTCCTCTGGAGTTTTGGTCGGTGGATTGTGCCACCCCAGGCGGTTTGTGATACGATGAACGTGAACATCGACGCCGATCCCCATGTTTCTAAAAAATGATTCCGATTAATCAAAATTTCTCGCGCTACGAAGGAAGATTCGAGGACCGAAAATTCCAGGTTTGGAATTTACCAAGAGACAAAGTGAGATAACTTACAATCCCCATGCACTCCCCAACGTCAAGTACGCCATCTTCTTCCCTACACCGGGCAGGTCCAACAGTTCTTCAAGTGTCTTTGGTATATCTCCATCATACTTGTCTCGACAGATCACAGCAGCTTTCTGGATATACTCAGTCTTTCGACGCCAGAATCCGACTTTGTTTATGGAATCTTGGACAAGGGACGGGGGAGCAGAAGCTAATGCAATAGCAGAAAGACCGGGAGAACCGAGGGCACGGAGGGCGGAACGCAGATTAGAAATGGCTGCGTGCGTGACAACGTCTTTGGTTTGAGATGAAAGCATTAGGGAAATCAGGATAGAGAATCGTTTGTTCTGAGTAAATACCACCTATAAGTCAAAGGGCAGGAATGAACGACGGGATTGATGCACCTTGTCTTCACCGTCTTCACCTTCACCTTCGCCAGCGATACTACAGCCCATTGTATCAACCGCAGCGTCCCAAGCACAACCAGAAGGCGTATACCGCATCTCATGAATAAGATCGTATACCTGGCGCCAATTTGGAGGTGCGGGATGAGCAGCACTAGAGGCAGAGTCAGAGCTGGTTCGCTTTAGTTTGCGAGGAGATTTCGGTTCAGAAGGTTTGGTTTTTATTCTTGAAGACGAACCATTTCTGGAGGGTGAGTTTGTCTCGGAACGAGGTTTAGGGGATAGTCTTGAAGGAAAATACGGTTCATCAACACGTTTACTTCGTTTCGGTGGACGAGCCTGTTCTTCCTCTGATTCACTTTCTGCTAGATTTCTGACGAGCTTTCTCCTCAATGGGCTCGAGCCACACATCCTGTTCGATTCGCTTGGTTCAGGTTCGTGTCCATTCGGCTCATCAGGTTCTCTTTTGAGTTCAAACAGCGTCACCGAATCGTTGAAAGTGCTCGTACGAGATGTTAGGTTGAGCATTGGGAATGGCCTGGAAAATACGAGGAAGCTTATGGAGTCTGAAGTAAAGAGACATGTTTAATACCAATATGACACCTATTGTCTCATGTGTCCCTGGTAGTATATCGGTTAGTACACGCGCCTGTCATCGTATGTTCAAACGCGCGAAAGCTGGGTTCGACTCCCAGCCAGGGAGGTATGTTTTTTTACCAGCAAGTTGGCAGATATTGTCTAGTTCGCATATACACACACAAACGGAGTAAAAGTAATCAAGGAATCTCAATTTTGCACTTCCTACATACATAGTTTGAGAATGGTCGACCCGACCTTAACCCGACTCAAGGTCACAAAAAATCAAGTGCCTTAATTCAGTACAGCCTGTCCATCAGATCCGTGAATATGGGCAGCTCGCGAGATTCATAATTATAATCTAAGTTGATAGAACTGATATCAAACATTACTTTATCAAAGTACCACACGACGGTCAGTAGCGTGACTACTAGTAGATCCACCATCGATCCTTTCGAATTCAACTTCAAGATGTTAGTTACCATCCGGGTTTGCAAAGGGCTCGCAATGTAGATTTAGATGGTTGCGGGACTCGCCATCACTATGATTTTAACTGGTCTACAATTTTACAGCTATTTACCTACCTACCTCCTATGTAGGCTACTACCGAATTATATTCGGTTCACATATGACGAGATTCTATCTTCATGAAGAAGCTCGGTCTTTTGCTAAAGACGCCAGCTCGCTACTTGTCGATGTGAACTGCGCCATTCAACATTCTTCAAAAATATATAAACCTGTTAGTCAGATGACTGTACTTAACTGCCATATATTTACATGACACCTACAGCCGTATCGAACATAATAAGATCTCCCTCGAGACTCAAGATATGAATATTCAATACCTTATATGCTTCTTGGACTCGAGTAGCGTGAATATTTTATGTACGTATTTAGAATAGAAGCTGCGGAACGATTATAGTTCTGCTCCCCATGTCAATCATTTCATGTCTATGCTCTCACTGTGAGATCGACACTGCTTCCGGCGACTTATAACAGTCGACTGAAAAAGTTCCACAACTACCATTTCGCCCTTCAAGTTCCTGCATATCCGCAACTCCTCAGAATATGTCTTCTTCAACCAGAACAGTATGGGGTTTTGACTTATCAGAGCCACGCTGGAGTGCTTTCAAAGGGAAGAACATGTTCGACAAACGTTGGCCGCACCTTCGTCGTGAACGCTTGTGTATGTATCTTGCCTTGACCTCGATCCCAATCATGACTAAACGGTTCCTACTTCCCAGTTGCTTATCAGTTAACCCAAAACATTTGCATTGGAGCAACTATCCCTGCAACTATCTCTCTGGCAAAATATAGGGATTTAAGAACTAATGTTCAGCAATATGCTTTGACTAAGTTCGATATGGAGGTACTTGCAGACTCTTCCTTAATTGAATCATCAAACGAGCTCGATTGCTTCATATAGGTCGAGCTTCACGTTGACGATATCATTACTGCAAATATTCTCACTCTCACCTTCTGTGCATTCGTCTCCTCCCTATTTGCTCTTGAATTCATCATACTCGTGTTATGGCCTCGTCGAACATCATACCCAAAGTGGCACAACCGTACACGGATGATTTTGCCCCCCATCATGACCACGGGTCTCCTTTTGGCTGCTATCGTCGATACTGTGCGTCTCTCAATATATGTCTATGGTCCCTTTCTCTTCCCTTAGTATTCCATCATGAACAGATCATGGTATTCAAGCACTCTGGCTTTATTACGGGCGCGTCAGCGGAAGTGCAAGAACAATTGACCACTTTTTTCTTTCGCCCACCGCTCAGTGTGTAAAACCTTTGCAGTTCACAAATTCAAGAAGGGCTGATTTGTGCATTTGCTTAGAATACATGTCATACCCCGCAAACATTGTCTCTGTTTGCTTTATCTGGATAGCCTGGGTTTGTGCAGTCATAACGTGAGTTTTCATCCTCAATTATTCACCTTCTCTCATGGTATATTAATAGTACCATCCTTCTGATCATCGGTGTGAGACGCGAGATGAAGGGTGGCAGCGAGACACGTGAGATGACACCTGCACCCGCTCAAGTTTCAGAAAACGAGAAACCAAGTAATGAATTCCCTGAGGATCCGTCCAGGTTGTCAACGCTATGATCTTCTCAGTTGTGCGTAGATATAAGTAGAACTTCGTCAATGGCCTTTGCGGCTCTGAGAGTAGTAGAGGCTGCATGTTTCAATTCGACGAACTTCAAGGAAGTGACTTTAGCTTGTTCCAGTTTCTGTACACGAAATAAGATAATCTAGTACATATAAAAATGCTATGTAACTTGTGGAATTTCAATAGGACAATCTCTAGAGCATTGAGATAGTAGGAGATCGACGATCAATACTTACGGCAAGAATATACACAGCACTTGAAAATTAGATCCCACAAGGAGTTTAGAAAATACTATTTTGTACTTCAACAATTATACAAACATCACTCGGAATCGTTGCGTCAAGACCTATTCCTATCACAGATGTCTTCCCTATAAGTGCCAGAAGGGCTAGAAAATGAATTGAGAGGTGGAAGGTTCCACCTGATATGACCAATTGATGTAATATGTACAACCGGTTGGTGGACCGATCACGCCGTTGTCTACAAGTGATATATGGCAGTTCCTGGCAGTTTGATGCTGCCCAGTGGGCGGGTCCCCTACAATAACGTCCTATTAGCCTCCAGTACTCTCTGTACTATATGTTAATAAATGTAGTACTTATAGCTCACTCAGAGTACACTTAAGGCTAGTTAAGTCAGTCCAAGATATAGTCATATATTAACATACTATTATATCAATAATAAATCGCTACTAAACAGTAATAGTAATTGATATAATACACCTATAGTCCATTGTCATTGGCGACCGCCAAGGCCGCCTCCGCTCGGTCATCTAACTCCGACTCCTGGTCGTCTCCATCACTGTCATCCTCTTGATCATCCTCATGGTCTTCATTGTCCTCGGCTACCATACCCTCTTCGATGTGATTATGTACACTCTGTCGTCTGAGGCCGACTCCTGCGTGAAAGTATCGAGCGTTGGTGGGAGTGAATCCCGGGAGTTTTCGGATGGAGTCAAGACGTCTACGGTGGGTAACGTTGTATCTACGCCTCTCATCCCTGTACCTGCGTATCTGATACGCTAACGAAGGATTGGTCTCTTGAACGGATGTTGCCACCAGTGAGACATATTCCTCTTCCTCCTTCATGTAGGTAATGAGGCGTTTGATCTCCATGTTCAGTCTATGGATCTCCTCCTCAGCTCGTATTAGCTTGAAGAGCTCCGACATTGCCTCTCGTACTGCTGGCTTTGCCCAAGTCTTGTCACAAACGTCACTGCGCGTGTCTCGAAGGAAGTCGAACTCAGAAAGGTACGTGTAGTTCATGACATCATCCCAATGTAAGAGTTTGCGAGGGGGTGTAAGCTTTGCTGCGGCCTCATTGTACTTTTCAAGCGCTGAGCGGATAGTGGTTGACCTTTTCTGCATTGCATGGCCAATATGCTGACGCATCTTGTAGCCTGTACCGTATGTCAAGTTAGATAGCTTTGTAGTCATAAATAAAAAACGCACCCGTTCCAGAGATGTTCATCCGCGAGAGTTCGAAAATCCTGGCCACAATCAGGCCCTCCAGCTTGTCCAATGACTTCTGATAGATGGACATTGCAACCAACTCTTCTGCCTTCCTCCAGTCCTCCGAGCCCTTACACCACCTCTGATCCGCCCTGATTCCGAGTCTCTCCTCCAAACACTGAACGTCGACCAAAAGTTTCGCCTCCAGCTCCAGCTCATTTACCATCTGTCTTTCAGACAGGTAAAGAGACTCTTCTCCCTCCACGCAAGATTCGCCCATTTCGTATAGTTTGAAGGTCCGTCTTGCTCGTCGAAGTTTTTCACGACAGTCTGACAGCTTTACCAGGGCTCGGTAGTAGCTACTGGCAAGAACGTCAGGCTCAGGGACGGAGTTCCGGGATTCTAGATAGCTTCGTTCTTCGTCAATGAACCCGATCACCTTTCCAGCATCCAATAGACCAAGTTCTCGCAAGGTTCTTGCAGTCTCTTGCGAGCGACTAATAATGCGTAATGCCTGTCTGTAGTTAGAGTGGATGAACTTCGAGAGGTTTGCGTAAGTCTCGAAATTATCCCGATGATAGGCGTAGGAGGAGATAGTCTGACGGCGTCGAAACTTGCTCATATACCGGGTAACTGAGGCAAGCGCGTTTGAGTGCGAAAAGAAACGTTCACAGACTTCCAGGTCCTCGATACCAGCCCCATAGATGTACAGCATAAGGAAGGTAAGCTGACAGAGACGGTTATGCGCGTACCCATGAAGAAGGCCAATCAGCATCTGGAGCCTCTCGTCTTTTGCGAGCTGACGGAGAGGACTACGGGCAATCTTGTCCACCATCCCGCAGGCAATGTCATACCCAACGCCCAATGATCCCATAGTTTCCTCTGAAAACCCTCGACGTTTCCGGTCGTCGCGACAAGCAGACATGAAGTGATATAGCAGAGAGAGTAAATATTTTGATCTGGAACCTAAGTGAGAAAGATGGAGGTGAAGAGATGGGGCACACTTACTGTTCACCGGTCTTGATCATATCTGAGAAGGCGAGAACAAAAGAATGGCGGCAAAAACCCGCAAATATACCATTGACATCAAAGGACCCAAACGACTTCGCCGTTTTCGCCTCGTTCAAGTTCGACCAACGGTCGGTGCATGCATTCCTATCAGCCTTCTCCAGGGGACTCCAGTCCACCCACTTTCCCCAGTTGGGCTCATCCCACAAATCAACTTGACTGGGCTGGAGGAAATAATCCCCACCGCCAATCCGAACATCCGGTCTCTCCCTGGACGGACCAAGCAGCGTTCCATCATCCCTTCGCTCCCGTCGTTCAAACCGCTTCAGGGAGTTATTGCCGTCCACTGCGAGCATCATCCGGATGGGCTGCGGCTCCTCTCCCTCAACCTCATACTGACACGGTGGACAAGTGTTCAGCAAGCGCCAGTTAGGCGTTGTTCGGTCAAGAGATATCAGGACTCGCAATCTCACGGACTCGGTGAGACGAATGTAGAGGTCGTATGCTGAGGAGAATTGGACGCCGAAGTTGTTCTTGAAACGTACACCC